ATATGCTGTATGCTGCACTTTTTTCAAGCATGAGTTAGGTTTAGTCGCAAGCTCTTTTTAATGTTTTATTTTATTAATTATTATATATTATGTTATATTAATAGTAATGAATTATGAAAAAAAAATAGCATGTGAGTTATGTGATTCTTACGCATTAATGTCAGTGAGCACGTAGGCAACTTTTAATCAGTGCCATCTTTTAAAGGGGTCATATAATGCCATTTAATGCCAGGTTAATTTGATTCTTTAGGGTCTAAATGAAAAGTTTGTAATATACTTTAATTAAAAATTCTCATTAGTATTGTAACAGCTTTCCATTAAGCCGCTGTGGTATTGGCAATAGGAGTGAGCAAGTAAATAACTCGTATAAACTCCATGAACTCAGATGTAAGATGCAAACAATGTCCTTTATTTCTTGTGCTCTAATTGATAAACGTTGCTTCCAATTAGCTTATTGTGGTGTCTCATTCTTTGTTGTTCAAAGCATACTAATGTTCAGGTTCAGGTTTATTGATATAGCCCATTTCATACACAGAACGGTAACCCAATGTGGTTTACATAATAGCAATTACACAATAATATTAGCTATAAAAACATGTTAAATCACAGGGAACATAATACACAAAATTGAGAGGTTAAAATAAAAACCTTACAGACCACAGGTACAAGAGAGGGTTAATAGAAAGCATCATAGAAAAGTTTTGTTTTTAGTCTGGATTTAAAAATAGAGACAGTAGGAGAGGTCTTAATGTCTACAGGAAGATGGTTCCAAAGACGGACCGCATAACAACTAAAGGCTGCCTCTCCCTGCTTGGTACGAGCGCTGGATTGTACCAGTTGGAGTTTTCCAGCAGATCTAAGAGATCTTGAGGGGCTATATGTTTCAAGCATCTCTGCTATATAAAGAGGTCCTTGACCATTTAGTGATTTAAAAACAAGAAAAAGAACTTTAAAATCAATTCTATAGATCACTGGTAACCAGTGAAGAGATTTTAAAATTGGTGTGATATGATCTTTTCTTTTAGTTCAGGGGCCGTATTCACAAAGAATTTTATCTTACCACTAGGAGTACTCCTAAATCGCACTAAAATATTTTAGCTAGGAGTTTTCTCTGTGAATACTATACGTCCACTGACGTCTTTTGCACGTCTAGTCTAGCAAGACAGAAAAAAATTATCAGGATCTATAATTCTTTATAAAATACACGATTTATATACAAATTAATATATATTTACTTTATCTTGTTTTTATAAATTATAATCACAAAATGCACAGTATAGTCAAGTGATTGCAAAGCCACTGCATTTTAGTCATTATTTTAACCTGTTGTACCTGATGTATTCGTTGTTATTTTTTTATGGAATGTATATACATGTAAAACAGAAATATACCCGGTCACCATTTATGTTGGATGTAATTACCCAAACCCTCTGCCCAAACCATAAACTGTGCTGCCAAGATGTAGTAACAAAAGATCTCGCGATATTACAAAATCATGCGATGGGATTATCTCGCGAGATGTTAACGCGTTCTCCCCATAGATTCTGGAACTTTGAACAAACACGAGGAGAGGAGGGAGTTGTGTCGATATTATTAAAAATCTACTGTTGGGTAAGTACGTTTTGTATTAGATTAACGTGCTTGAGTTTTACTTGTGTGACATGAATGAACCGAAAGAAATTATGCCCACATTGTCAACTGAAATTTACTGAGTTTGGCTAAAATTAGCCAGTAGGCTAAAAGTAACTTTGAACGTATACAACAACGGTAACGTTATACCAAGTATATTGTTTAATGATACAGTTATTACTGTAACTTATTAATGTAGCCTTTTGAGAGTTTCTTTCAGAAAGTAAATTATCTGAAATGGAATGAAATGTTTAGCTGGATTTTAACATGTATGTTTTCAGTAACTGCTTTAAAAATAAAAGCAGAACATATTTTATACAATAAAATAAAATGTAATGCATGTTGATTACCTTTTTCTAATGTGTCATTCATGATTCATTCATCTTGTTCCATGTTTTTTTTTTAATTTAGCTGTAGACCATAAAAATATTTTGAAAATAAGTGCATATCATTTACCTCAAATTTTAATTTTATAATAATTTTATTTATTTAAATATATATATATTCTCTTCCCTGAGATGCTGTGAAGAGGTGGAGCCCAAATGCTACAGACTCTGAAATTGATGCAGCAATGGCAGAACACCTGAAACACGCTCCAGGAACAGCTGGTGGATACAAAAACTGAGCCAAACAATGTGTTTTTAAACGGATAGTTTCCCCAAAAATGAAAATTGTCATCATTTACTCAACCTCATGTTTCAAACCTGTATACCTTTCTTCATTGAATTTTCATTTTTGGGTGAACTATCCCTTTATATAATAATTCAGTATTTTGTAATTGGTATTTTAGTTTGGTTAACAAATGTTAAACATTGAAAAAATATTAAGATACATTTTGGCTGTTCAAGATCAATAAAATGTGCTAAATCAGAACATGCTTCTTTTTTTCTTATGTCCACAAATAATGTGTTCTTGTTTGTGATGTACACGTGATTAAAACGTTTTATTGACGGTCAGGTCTGACTAGACCAATTTTGGACCTTTTTAGAACCTTTGTCAAGATGTGTAAACTTCAAGACTTGATTGCCTTTCACGATGTTACACAATATGTGTGTGATTATTTTAAATGCAGGCTTATATACACTTAAATTATGCAGCAACACATTTAAACACACAAATGACGACGCATTTGGACGTCCAGGGACGCGCTGAAGAGACGTGGAATTCACGGCCAGGTGACGTCAAAGACGTCGGTTCAACTTTCATTTTGGAACTATTTTTCAACCATGACGGGACGTGTCGGACGGACGACTTTTCAACGGTCATTACACGTCCAAATGTTTGCTGGGTCCTCGCAATGATCACAGTGATTGGTTGTTAGATGACAGGGCCATCATGCGGAACATAACACAGACGCAACAAATCATGGATTTAGGACATCTAAATATGTCTGTGTCCTACACAAAATAATAATAGTAATGTCATCGAAATGTTTGTGCAGGCCCCAGTGAAGTGTAATTCTAACAAGGCAGAGAGAGAGAGAAGTCGTGAATTAAATTAAATTAAATCAAGGTAGCCTAATACCCCAATGAAAACCGCCACTTGCCTAATAATGAAAAAACGACACTTGCATTAACACTTGCTTGGTTAATTGACATCCTATTAGCCTAAATAGACTACTTAAAGCAAGGAAATGTTACTCCTATTGAAGTAATGTAATGGTGTGTTCACACCGAACGCGAATAAAGCGTCAAATACGCGTCTATAGCTTGAACATTCGCTCGAGTTCAAATTTTTCAACTTGCGCGGAAGACATTCGCGGCAAACGCGTCGCCCAATTCGCGTCATTTGCAACGCCCGGCGCGAATGATGCGCCTATTCGCGTCTTTGCATTGACTTTGTATGTAATCTACTCGCGCAAATAATTAAATTCGCGTTCGGTGTGAACACACCATAATAGTTGAATGACGGTGGATTATGAACTCGCCAAAACGGAAAAGAAAGCCCAACTGGACGCAGGATCAGTTACTGCTGCTGGCCCAAAAACATAATAAAAGTGAAATTCGGCACTGGGATATCAAGCAAAACTAAGGGTGAGAATGGGAGAGGATTTGTTTGCAGATCAATGCAGCATTCCCGCTTGTGTCGCGGACCCCGGACGACTGCGAGAGGCGGTGGTATGCGCTACAATCCTTTGTGAATAGGTCTTAGTGAGTTAGGAGTCCTCTCGACTTCTTTTAAGCTGTCCCAGACTTAGGTGCTACTTTTAGGGCTAAAATGCTTCGTGAATTACTCTTAGTGAAAAAAATTAGGAGTCCTAAAGTTAGGAGTGACATGCCCATTATTTTTAGGAGTTGCTCCTAAATTTGCCAGTTAGGAGCTACTTTTAGCCTTAAAATTCTTTGTGAATACGGCCCCTGGTCAATAGCCTTGCTGCTGCATTTTGAATAATTTGAAGAGGTTTTATTGTTTTTTTAGGGAGACCAGTGAAAAGACCATTACAATAATCCACCCTACTGGTGATGAAAGCATGAATAAGCTTTTCTAAATCTACCGTTAATATAAAGTTTTTAACCTTTGCAATGTTTTTTAAATGATAAAAAGCTGATTTTGTGACTGCCTTCATGTGGCTATTGAAACTTAGGTCGCTGTCAATAATGACCCCGAGGTTCTTCACGGTTTCCACTACCTCAAAACCTTTCATTCGGCAGTCTTTAGTCTTTGATCCTTTTTCCCAAAGATAATTACTTCAGTTTTGTCTGTGTTTAATTTAAGGAGATTTTTAGACATCCAGTCTTGAACTTGATTAAGACAATGATAAAGAGATTCAAGGGGAGCAAACTCGTTGGGACAAGGATAGATATAACTGTGTATCATCTGCGTAGCTATGGTAACTAATAGAATGGTTTTTCATAATTTGGCCAAGAGGGAGCATGTACAGATTAAACAAAAGAGGGCCAAGGATTAAGCCCTGAGGGACACCACATGTTAAGGACACAGGAGCTGAAGCATAATGACCAGAGGAGGGGTTTGAAAAATGAGTCGTTAAACGAATCATTAGGGAATCGGTGAGCAAATAAGGTAAAAATAAATGCATATTATAAGACAACAAAAGTGTTTTTTGTCATTGCATGCATGTAAAACTGTTGTTTGGGACTCCCAGAACAATATTAGGAACATTTTAAATTCCATAATAGGTGCCCTTTAAAAGTCAACTCCTCAGAAGGTCATTGAATAATTCACACACATATGGCCTTTAGCCTACTGTAAAAAAAAAGACGCTACAATGGGCACTGCATTTGCATTTGAATGATTGCTCTTTCCTGTTTTATACATCAGTTTATAGTCATACCTAATGAGGGAATTCTATAAAGAGATTAATTCATTTTAATTCAATAAATAAAAGTGTTGTGGAGTGACTTTCACTCGACTTTTTGTTTTCTGTGCTTATTTTCCTCTTAAGCATTTTATGGTCAAGAAAAAAACTTTTTGTTGATTTGTTAAATCATTTTATTTTAAATCTACGGATATAAGAACATATTAATTGTAATAACTGTATTTTTGAGTAAACATAATATAATGCACTGGTCACATGCTTCAGTATGTTTATAGAGTACATGCTATGCTGGAGTTTATATGGTTTCTCTCTTTGGTCAAAGACTACAGATGTGTGTGTTTCTCCGCTTCATCCTCTGTGTGTTCAGGGCTGTATGGTGAGCTCAGTCTCTCCGTACACCTGTCGGAGCGCAGCGCAGTCTAGACTCGCCATCAGTTTAGTAGAGCCGGCCCGGCGGGGGCTGAAGGTCTCCGTCCACGTTATAGAGGTGCCTGGAGAAATCAGACTGAAAAACACATCACACACACGTCAGAAAAACATGCAGTACAAGACTTACACTCATGCATTTGGCAGATGCATTTATCCAAAACAACTTCAAGGTATATATTTGATTAGTTAATGCATTCCCTGGGAATCAAACCCAAGACTTTAGTGATGTGAATCTAACATAAAACATGTTCATGTCACATCTCACTCTTACTTTTTTGCACTGCACATTATTCTCAACACTTATTAGTGTAATATGGTAATTTTAACATATATGTGTTTTATTTTACTTGTATGCATTGCATTTAAAATATATATAATATGTACAGATATGTACAATTTGGATGTAATGGTGTGGGTCTGACAGTGTTCACCTGTACAGCTTGTGTTTAAAGGCCATGATTCCAGGACCCTCCATACGCAGATCCACATTCTCCAGACTGAACTTAAACGGGTTGGTGAACTCGACTGACACGTACATTTCCTCGCTAACTCTTGGAGAACCGGTCACCTATACAGAGAGACATAACAAGAGAGAGAAAGAAGAGAGACATGAACTAGTCTCTAGTCTACCAGTAGAGGGCAGAAGATTCATTTACATTCAATTATCAACTTACAGTCCATTCAAACAACATTTTGTCAGTATGTGTTACCTGGGAACAGAACCCAGCATATACATATATATAATATACAAGTATAATAATACGTTTGATTAAAAGGTTAATAATATTCAAATTATTTTTATTATCTATACATATTTTGAGCTTTTTCAGTTCCCTCATCAACAGCAGTTTGGGAAACCCTGGTTTTAATGTAAATGAGAGGTACAGTAATAGTAATGCCTGACCGTCACTATGAGTTTGGGGTTGTGCATGGTGATGACTTTCATCGCTGTTATGATCTGTCCCGTCTCTTTAATCTTTCCTGTAGCGATGAAGTGGATGTTTCCCTGTTCCACCAGTTTGTGCATGTAGTCCACGCCGCGCACAGACACTTTCTCCTCCTTACCTATCGCCAGCAGGGGGAGCATTAAATGCATGAGTATAGATATACTGTACACTCATATTATCATATTACACTCTCTAGGGCTGGGTTGAAAATATTAATTTCTTGATTTTAATCAAATCTCCTTTCTATGTCCTGATATCGTTTCTTTAACCCCGATAAATTATTTTTTATTTGATTTAAACGGCTTGTAAACAATATGCCACGTAACATTACATTTACCTTTAGAAAAGCTGTTCAAATGACCATAAACCATAAAAGAAAAAAAAAAACTTAGATATATGCATTAAATATTCATTATATTTTTACTTAACCTGTTCTTCAAAATTGAATGTGTGTTTATAAATCTGTTATGACAGCCACTGTGTAAATGTTTTTATTTTAAAAAAACGAATTGGAGTAGAAACATAATAATGTTATTATAACAACAGTAACCATTTGTATACAAATCAGGTGCTAACTTTAACCTTTAAAATTATATTAATGTACCAACTGACATTATTCCCTGTACAGTTTACAGCATTAGTTGAGATTTTTTTTTTTCATTCAAACGAATCGATATCAAAACGAGATCTTTTGCAAACTTGTGAATCAATATTGAATGGAGAAACCTGTGTACCCAGCCCTATCTCTCCTACGAGGACTCACTCTGCTGTGGCTCCAGTTTCACTTTGGGAGTCTTAAACACAACCTCGCCGCTCGGGACTCCGGTGTAATACACCACCGTCCCGGTGATGTACACGTCTGCACTGCGCCGCTGGTCGCTGCGGTTGTTAAACTGCAGTGTCACGTCAAAGTCGTCCCCTACGCGAACGTCCAGATTAAGGATCTCCACATCCACATCTCCCTTAGGAAGGGAGGATTTCTCCCTCTGACAGCCGAACTCCTCCGCTTTCTCCAGCACACGCCGCTCCTCTGGGGTCCCTGAGGAAAGAAAGGTTCAAAATGGATCCTGGTTATCTGATATAATACAGTATATCCAAGAGCAACCTCTCTCACCTTCAGGAAACTTGTATTGATTGGTGATGTCTCGACGGCCATCGTGCAGCACGGCTTTGGTCAGGACCATGCGGCCCACGTGAGAGGTGTTCACCTTCACCGCGTCCAATGTGCCGTCTTTATGTCTACGATAAAACACCACGTCACTGTTCACCTGCAGAGAGAGAGAGATACAGTAGATTAGATGGATGGATACATGGATGGACAGACAGACAGACAGATGGATAGATAGATAGATGAACATGTTTTGCAGTGGTTCCCTAAGGGTTAAAAGTAAAAAAGCCTCTTTGGTATCCTCCTGGTATCAAGATGCGTTTTGGTCGATCTGTTAAGTTTAAGACATTAAAAAATGTGTTCATGCATCTGTGCTGAATATTGTTTAAGATTTCACATGACTGTTTACCGAAAGGAAATAAGGGACTCATATTATGAAATTCCCGGAAGTGCGAGGTGTTGTTGTTTGAGCACGAACGAAGTAGTGTAACGTTTGGTGTGTTGACGAATAAACGGATGATCGACTCTGAAGTGTATCTTTTTGTATAACAGATCGGGTCACAAGTGGACAACGCTAAATACAGGTGTAAATGGGTCTAAAACGTTTTGAGCTCGTCCACTTTCAAACACTTCCAGAGATTGTGGAAAACACATTCGACCGGATTGTCGGCTGGAGACCCAAATTTGGTTTAAAGATAAAAAACGTACCAAACACAATGTTCTCTCACAATTCCTGATTTCTAACACACACTCACAGCGTTCGGCTGATCTTGTGTCTGTTAGATCAGAAACTAAAGCTGATGCTCCGTGTGTTTTTCCGTCGTCTCCGGTCGCGTTCATATGTAAATTGCGTGAGCTTATTTTGACCATTAGATCAAAAGATCTGAAAAAACACAAACATTTCCCGCCCGTAGACCCTCGCCTCGAAGAAATCAGGACAGAAGTGGATGAAAGTGGACAGAAGAGACGGCTTAAAACACCAGGTGTAAACGGGAATGTGTCTCCCTCGTCTACTTGTGTTACAATGAATAATTGTCCCGTTTGATACAATCGACCAAATTGCATCTTAATGCCAGGAGTAAACGGGGCCCGTCACATGGCTTGCATTACCTCAGCGAAGACAAAAGGGGCATCAAACGGGTAGCAGATCTGGCCGTGTTTAATGGCAGCTACTGATGCGGGTCCGCACCTGAACATACCTGACAGAAGAACAGCCTCAATGACATCACAGAACAACAAACAGATGGCGTGTGTGTGTGTGTGTGTGTGTGTGTGTGTGTGTGTGTGTGTGTGTGTGTGTGTGTGTGTGTGTGTGTGTGTGTGTGTGTGTGTGTGTGTGTGTGTGTGTGTGAGAATGTCCTACCATCACTCGTCTCCTGTGGCGTAGCGTCCACAACCTGCCATCCTCCAAAGCCAGAGGGCAGATCAGGTCTCGCCATGTAGCACTCGTTCCAGCAATGATAATTCCTGCGGGTGAAGATAAAGCAATTCATTTACTGCATAAGCCGCATTCAGCAACAGGGTCAGGGTGGGAGATTGACAAGGCCTTGGGGTAAATACTGCCAAAATGGACAAAAAAGCCTTGTACAAATTAAAGTGAAATAAAATGAATGAACTGTGTTAATTGCAGCATTACATTATGATGCAGGGCGTAACTATTATTACAATATCAATTTTATGCAATTGTGTTAATACACGTGTGCCATATATAAAACATTTGATCCAAAACAACACTTTCTTTGTGAAATTGAAATTCTTATTTTTTCCCTGCCAAATGTGTTACCATGACATGTAATTTTAAAGGGGTCATATAATGCCATTTTTGTACAAGCTAATATGATTCTTTAGGGTCTAAATTAAAAGTTTGTAATATACTTTAATTAAAAATTCTCATTAGTATTGTAAGAAAACATTAATTTTACCTGGTCAAAAACAGCTCTGTTTTCAGCACGCTGTTTCAGTGCATATGACTTTAAATGATCATGAGCTTTGCTGACTCCGCCCCTCTGTTCTGTGCGTACACCGTTTGTAACACAATAACACAATAACCATAACGCGTTGTTCAGTATAAACATGGGATTATGAATTATATTGAGAAAACATGCCGTAATGTACCCTGAGTGTAAACCTTAGACGCATTCATTGTGAAGCGTGCAGCTGGCGATTTGCAAAGATTAATATAAATATTAATATAAAGTTTAATAAAACGTTACACTCACTTCAGTTCTTCTGGAGATTCAGCAGGAACACGAATATCTGGTACCGATCATTTATTCATGAGCAGCTTCTTACCAAATCCAGCTTTATACTGATCCTCGTTCATAAAGCAGTCTGGTGTGTGAAATGATTCGGCAAACATGAGAGCATTGACGTTGCTCGTGGGGAATATTCCCTTCGAAAACAAACTCAGCCACTGCGTCTTCAGCGGTTCGGATTTAGGAACATTAAAATGACTGCTGTGTTCGTTATTACACCCAAGAACAGAACACCACAATCGCTGAGACGCCATTCTGCTCATAGACAGTGCTCCAGCATGTCAACAATGACCGCGCCGGTCCGCGCAGACTATGATTGAAAGCTCGCTCACGAGCGAGGGCGGGTCTGTGTTGAAACGCTGCTGTCAATCAACAATCGTGGGAGGGGCTTCTGACCATGTGACGTCACACGGTCGAACGGCTCAATTTGAGGCAGGGGAAAACATATAAGGAGATTAAAACAAAAACACTGGATGGATTTTTATCATTATATGATGTTTGTGTACAGGCGCTGCCAACACACATTTCAGTACAATCAACTTGAAAAAGTGCATGTACCATTATATGACCCCTTTGATTCATTATACAATTTTAACTCATATTTAGTAATGTACTTATGTATAATGCATTGTAAAGGTATTCATAATGTACTTTATAAAGCAATATATTTTCATAAATAATTGTAACCAAAGTTAAAAAGCTTTATAATATTTGCAGATTCTGAAATGGGTTGTTTGCCATGTTTTTTAATGGATTACACTTTCTAAAGGTGTGCTCGATGATTAAATAAGTATTATAATGTATTATAACTGTAGTTACAATTATTCATGAGACCACACAATGCATTATAAGGTGTATTACAAGACATAGTTAGTGCATTAAAATGCTTTTATAATGCATTATCTATATAGGCTTTATGTAAAGTGTTACCAAAAATTGTATTGCTAAATTGCAGGCTATAAAAGAGCACAAACCAGATTGAATCCTTGGTGCGATTCCGGTCCAGTTTTCCGTTTTCGTCCAGAATGATGTCCATCTTCAAGTTTCCATCATTGTCGTGGGCGGAGAAGAAGTTTGTCACGACCCTGCTGGGGATCCCGAGACTACGCAAGACTGTGGGGAAGAAGGAGATGATAATTAATCTTATTACACAGCTCTCCGAAATACTCGGTTCTGATTGATCAGTTATTCGCCAATGATGACCGTCGTCGAAAGCAATGGTTTATAACGATTGTTTTGTGCACTGTAATGGATTTTAAAGGGATACTCCACTTTTTTTGGAAATAGGCTCATTTTACAACTCCCCCAGAGTTAAACTGTTGAGTTTTACCGTTTTTGAATCCATTCAGCCGATCTCCGGTTCTGGCGGTACCACTTTTAGCATAGCTTAGCATACATCATTGAAGTGGACAAGACCATTAGCATTTAAAAAAAAAAAAAAAAAATGACCAAAGAGTTTCGATATTTTTCCTATCCATATCAGCCTAGAAAATCGCAACTTTACATTTTCCGTCGGTCTTAGTGCACGATGTAACTAAGTCAAGTTTTAAATAGGAAAAATATCGAAACTCTTTGGTCATTTTTTTTTTAAGAAATGCTAATGGTCTTGTCCACTTCAATGATGTATGCTAAGCTATGCTAAAAGTGGTACCGCCAGAACCGGAGATCGGCTGAATGGATTCAAAAACGGTAAAACTCAACAGTTTAACTCTGGGGGAGTTGTAAAATGAGCCTATTTCCAAAAAAAGTGGAGTATCCCTTTAAGATAAATAACAGGTAGGATTTTAAAACACTTACTTCTCAAATCCCCATTCATGACCCCGCTGTTATTATTTATGTGGTGAAAAGCTGTGTAATAAGTGATATGACTATACAGTGATGTGAACTTGTTTGTTGGTCTAGACTCAAAGCTGCTTGTTAGGAACTCTTTTTATTTGTGGAAACTTTGTGTTGAATGAGCTAATAAATCAATATTTCGTGTCTAATTATTTACTTATGTGGCGTGTAATTAGCTTACGTCCAATACAAGCTAATACAATGTAACGTAGTAAGCTAATACATCCAGTCGGTTGTTTCCCCTTCAGGGTGATATAAGACCTGATCACCCTGTCAGGGTTTCAGTGATAACATCCAGCTGGATATACATTTTCCCTTATCATGTGACCTATACATGAACGTCTTGTCCTGTTGAAGTGAGCTCTCACAGGAGTTGAAGACGGCGGCGTAGACCCAGCACTGTGCGTAGCAGACCGGTGTTCCTCTGCTGTTGGCGTAGTCCAGGAGGATCTCCACGCTGCCGGTCCAGGACGTCGGTGGGACGCCGTATGTGTAATCTCCACTCCAGTTTCCCACCAACACGCCGTCGTCATCACGGGAGTTCAGCTGTTTTGAGCCAGGGAAGAAGTGAGCTCAACAATAACGTCATGAAAGTTGAAAACGATACGTTGTTTCGCCAATAGCACACATTATAAATCATCATGTGGACATTTTAAAAGGCTGTGTGTTTTTAGTTTTTAGCTGTGTTTCCCTTTTACATGGTGTTTGAACATGTGTGTACGCAAAGAATGGTAAAAATCCACCCACTCCTTTTTTTTTTACTCCCCATAAATCATAAGTAGTGTCTCAGAACAAGCCATTTGCAGATTCTAGCAGTGTGATGTCACAAAAGCCTAGGCCCCGCCCACGACTGCTGATGACTCCGCCCACAGTGAGCTGTACAGAGTCCGCCATGTTTAGCTCCTCGGCGTTCAAGTAAGAAATGTATTCTTATTAAAGGCACAATGTGTAAGATTTACATTTACATTAAGTCTGGGACAGTGAAGCTCAGTTCCTCATAAGATGGTAAAGTGAAGGGGATCATTCAGCGTTGTGGAAACTGTAGCTGTAGTTTCTCTGGTTCGAGTGTGTCAGTTTCTCACCATGGCCGAGGCGACGCGGGTCACTTTAATGATGTCACCACGGTTGGACAGCGGCATATCTGCTTTATCCAGAATGAACAGACAGGCATCCAGGACACCAAACTCAAACTAGAAAACAAACAAAATACAGAAAATTGCAATATTTCAATTCATAAGAAAATATTATTACAGCCTTTTAGTTATAATTATGGATGCACAATATCCATTTGTCATCACATATCAACACTCCCTTAAAATAATAAAAAATACTAATATTTAATAATGCTATTAAATGTAATTTTTAGCCAGTTTTAAAATAAATATCCATAACACTGTACATTATAAAGTTGTACTTATAAAGTTGTGCATAAAATCACTTGTTGAATATGAAATTGTTTTTTTAATACATTTTTACTTTATAGTATAGAATTTTGGTAACAGTTTACAATAAGGTCTAATTTGTTACTATTAGTTAATTAATGCATTAACTAACATTAACAATGAGCAATATAATTGTACTATTTAAACTATTGTGAATGTTAACTAATGTTAATAGATACAACTTTTGATCTTATGTATGTTTTATGTTTTAGTAAATGTTAACTTGAACATTAACTGAGATTAATAAATGCAGTAGAAGTATTGTTCATTCTAAGTTCATAATGTAAGCAAATTCAACCTTATTGTAAGTGTTACCAGAATTTTAATATTGGCCATTAATCAATTATTGCTCGTAACATTAAACTAATTATTGGTTTATCGATATTGGCACATATTTTATAATAAAAGTGCACGCCTAATAATAAATAACTGTTATAGAGATTTTTCACAGAGATTAAATGGGTCCCAAGTGTCTTTTTATAAATTTTGTAGGACAAATTAATGCAGGCACTCAGTTATTCCTGAACATTAGAGAGAAAAAGTGCAATTAAACACATTCATCTGAACATTTAAAGAACATAAGGAAGCTGCAGCAAACCTGTCCGTAGTTCCAGGCCCGTTCGGACACGTCGTCGTACGCTCCATGATAGATGATCCCCAGCTCGTTCATAACACACTCTTCACGCTCCTCCTCGTCATCCAAGAACACAGCATCAGCTTTCAAAGAAACATCAGTTATCATGCCTCACATCTTCTTTTTTTTCCTTTTCTTTCTTTTTTTCAATGTGCACTGGCATCCATAAGTTTCAAAAATAGAGCCTACAGTATACAGGTGAAACTCGGAAAAATTAGAATATTGTGCAAAATTTAATTTATTTCAGTAATTCAACTTAAAATGTGAAACTAATATATTATATAGACTCATTACATGCAAAGTGAGATATTTCAAGCCTTTATTTGTTATAATTTTGATTATTATGGATTACAGCTATGAAAATTATAACAAATAAAGGCTTGAAATATCTCACTTTGCGTGTAATGAGTCTATATAATATATTAGTTTCACCTTTTAAGTTGAATTACTGAAATAAATGAAATTTTGCACGCTATTCAAATTTTTTGAGTTTCACCTATAATATGGGTTCTTCTACCAGAAAGAAAGAAATGTAAAACCTGATGACCACGGGTTAAAAAGGATGTAGACGTCGGTGCTCGGGTCCCTCCTGGTCCTGCGGATGCCGTAGGGCGTCACCACACCGATATATATCACGTACTTTCCCACAATGCACTCTGGTGAGGGTGTGATGCCCATCGTGACAACATTGTCGCTGGTCTCTACGACCCGACCCCTCCAAACGCTCTGTCGATCCGCAGTGGGGAAGACGGGAATGTATGTGCCCTTACTGTACTGAGGACTCGGCCCTAGTGCACAACCACAATCACAATACAATATTAGTATCACAGGCTTCGTCATTATGCACAAATATACACTACTGTAAGATCGGTAACACTTTACAATAAGGTTCATTGCCAATTAGAGAATGAACTAAGCATGAACAATACTTCTACAGCATGAATTCATCTTAGTTTTAGTTTTAATTAATTTCAACATTTACTAAAACATTATTAAAATCAAAGTTGTATTTAGTTAATGCACTGTGTGAACTAACATGAATAGCTGGATTTTTATTGACTAACATTAACAAAGATACATAAATACTGTAACAAATGTATTGCTTTTTGTTAGTTCATATTAGTTCATACTTGAACTAATGTTAACTAATGAACCTTATTGTGAAGTGTTACTGTAAGATTTTTCGTTTTTGAAAAAACAGTAATATTGTAAAATATAATTACAATTTAAAATAACTGTTTTATTTAAATATATTTTAAAATTTTATTTATTCCTGTGATGCACAGTGTCACCTGATTCAGAAATAATTCTAATATGTTGATTTGCTGTACAAGAAAAAGTGTCTTATTATCAAATGTTGAAAACTGGTTAAAGGGGTCATATAATGGTACATGCACTTTTACAAGTTGATTGTACTGAAATGTGTGTTGGCAGTGCCTGTACACAAACATCATATAATGATAAAAATCCATCCAGTGGTTTTGTTTTAATCTCCTTATATGTTTTCCCCTGCCTCAAATCGAGCCGTTAGTTTTTGTGACGTCAATAAAACGGACGCCCCTCCCACGATTGTTGATTGACAGGAGCGTTTCAACACAGACCCGCCCTCGCACATGAGGTAGCTGTCAATCATAGTCTGCGCGGCGCGGACCGGACCGGCGCGGTCATTGTTGATATGCTGGAGCACTGTCTATGAGCAGAATGGCGTCTAAGCGATTGTGGTGTTCTGTTCTTGTGTGTAATAACGAACACAGTCATTTTAATGTTCCTGAATCCGAACCGCTGAAGACGCAGTGGCTGAGTTTTGTTTTCGAAGGGAATATTCCCCACGAGCAACGTCAATGCTCTCATGTTTGCGCAAATCATTTCACACACCAGACTGCTTTATAAACGAGGATCAGTATAAAGCTGGATTTGCTAAGAAGCTTTGCTAAAAAGGATCGGTACCAGATATTCGTGTTCCTGCTGAACCTCCAGAAGAACGGAAGTGAGTGAAACGTTTTATTAAACTTTATATTAATATATTAATCTTTGCAAATCGCTAGCTGCACGCTTCACAATGAATGCGTCTAAGGTTTACACTCAAAAAAATGATATGTTGGCTTTACTTAACTTTTTTATGTAAACAGGTTCCACCGGTTCCACATAACTATGTTTCGTTAAACAAACATAATATGTTCATGTAACTTCAACATCATGGAATTTGGTCATTTTAAGCGACCCAATTAAACTCTGAGCTAAAGAGTTAATTAAGTGAATAACTGAGTGATGATTGAGCATTATTGAAGACACCTGATGTTAACAAGCAGAATCTCTGAAGGAGAAAACCGGAATGTTTACGTCACCATTGTGGAGATCAGTGTGTGTTTTAGTTGGGCTCTTGACCATTAACTTATTAACTTTAGATTTTGTTTGGTTGCTGTACATGAGTTATAACAGCCGGATGAACAATAAACAAAGGTCATCTGATGGAGTTGGTTGTGTTTTAACATAATCATTATTTCACAATCATTTGACCTGAGTCACTGAACTTATATTAAACCGAATTTCTGAGTTAAGTTAACCTTTCGAATAATAGCAGCATTGTCATTGTAGAGCATACTATTTTTAGACTTTTCAATGGAATTCAAATGATCAAATCAATCAATAAAAAATAAACTTCCTAAAAAATATTTTGAGTAGGCACACACAGACATCAAGAATCAGCCTGTGAATCTCAACAATGGTGACAATTATAAAGCATGTTGCAGTGCATTCTGGGTGCCACCAATCAAAACTCATTCATGGCTCCCATCATGCATTGCTGCATGAATAAATAATGAGCTTATGATCTGTTTGTCACCATTGCTGAGATTCATATGCTGATTCTTGATGTCTGTGTGTGCCTACTCAACATATTTTTTAAGAAGTTTATTTTTTATTTCTTGATTTGATCATTTGAATTTCATTGAAAAGCCTAAAAATAGTATGCTCTACAATGACATTAAGGTAAACTTAACTCAGAAATTGGGTTCAATATAAGTTCGGTGATTGAGGTCAAATGATTGTGAAATAATGATTATGTTAAATCACAACCAACACCATCAGATGACCTTTGTTTATTGTTCATCTGGCTGTTATAACTCATGTACAGCAACCAAACAAAATCTAAAGTTAATAAGTTAATGGTCAAGAGCCCAACTAAAACACACACTTATCTCCATAATGGTGACTTAAACATTCCGGTTTTCTCCTTCAGAGATTCTGCTTGTTAACATCAGGTGTCTTCAATAATGCTCAATCATCACTCAGTTATTCACTTAATTAACTCATTAGCTCAGAGTTTAATTGGGTCGCTTAAAATGACCAAATTCCATGATGTTGAAGTTACATGAACATATTATGTTTGTTTAACAAAACATAGTTATGTGGAACCGGTGGAACCTGTTTACATAAAAAAGTTAAGTAAAGCCAACATATCATTTTTTTGAGTGTACACTCAGGGTACATTACGGCATGTTTTCTATGTATGACGTTCTCAATATAATTCATAATTCCACGTTTATACTGAACAACGCGTTATGGTTATTGTGTTATTGTGTTACAAACGGTGTATGCACAGAACAGAGGGGCGGAGTGAGCAAAGCTCATTATCATTTAAAGGCATATGCACTGAAACGGCGTGCTGAAAACAGAGCTGTTTTTGACCAGGTAAAATAAGTGTTTTCTTACAATACTAATGAGAATTTTTAATTAAAGTATATTACAAACTTTTAATTTAGACCCTAAAGAATCATATTAGCTTGTACAAGAATGGCATTATATGACCCCTTTAATATTTTTGTGAAAACTGATGCCTTTTTTCAGTATAATTTGATGAACAAAGTTCAAAAGTGCGGCATTTATTTGAGATAGAAACGGTACAAATGTCTTTACTGTCATTTTTAATGCATCCTTCCTGAATAAAAGTAGAAATCTTACTGACCCCAAACTTTTGCATGGTTGCGTATGGCAAAGTCTGTTCTGAGCAACTATGTTTTCTCAAAAAGTTTGCCTGGTTTGTTTGTTAAAATAATTTTCCAGTAAAGAGAACCTTGCTCAACTAGTCATCAGGTTGACTTCCTTCAGCTCGTGTGCTCAGTTTCCTTAAATATCAGTGGCAATGTGCAAATATCTGGATGTGTAAATATTATCAAGAAAAAAAAGAGAAGCACAAGGTTTTGCCACTAAAGGGAAGTGTGCCAACGAGAAGGGAAAGTGTTGATGGTGCTCAGAAGTTGCAGAACAATGACATCTCTTGTGAAATTTCAGTCAAATACATGCAGAAAATGCATAGTGAATTACATTTATTGCTGTGCTGGACAATATGCCTCTTTAAATAATTCCTAGGTATTGCAAAAGGAGGAAACTGATCATGTAAGCAGAAGGAAGCTTTAAAAAACATGTACGCTCTTAAAAATAAAGGCTCCGAAAGGAGGGCTTCACAGCGATGCCATAGAAGAACCTGTTTTGGTTCACAGAAGAACCTTTCAGTGAATAGTTCTTAAAAGAATAATAAGAACATTCTAAAAATTCTAAAACCTTTTTCCACTTTTGAGAAGCTTTTGCGGAATGGAAAGATTCTATGAATGTTAAAGGTTCTTAAATGGAACCATCAATGCCAATAAAGAACCTTTTTAAGAGTGAAGAATGCTTAAAAAAAAAAGAGGAAGACTTCCAGATTACCATTTTAAGATATAGTGGCGCTTATTCATACAATACTCAATTTAGACTAATAAACAATGGAATTCTGAATCATTGAAAAAAGTAATTGTTTTTTTTACGTACTTAAGTATTAAAAGCGCTGATCTATGACCTATATTTATTATTTATTCTAGCCAGTACTAGTCATTATCAGTAGTATTAAAGATTAGTGCAAACATTTAATAGGTATTGATCTGCAAAAAAGCTAACTTTTAATGTATTACCAAACCTTATTGTTCATAATACTAATTATTATACTTCTTTATAAACTTTTACAACAAATAACTGACAGTCGCAACCTAAATATGATTTTCATTTACAATAATCAATACTAAAATTTGGGATTAGTAACTTACTTTTTGCGGCTACGACAATATCCTGGTTCATTTTTACCTAATCACTGAATCAGCGAGTCGCAATCGGATCAGTCGATTTGTGAATGAATCATTCAGTGCGTTTGTGAACCAATTCAACAGGTTCAATGGAAAGAATCATGTTCATGTTCTTGGGTATTGGCGACTTCTTAAGTTCGAAATAGCGAGGAACGACATGTTTTTATGAAATGGACTCAAAAGTATCATGTTTTGCTTTAAAATGTACTGAAGTAAAAGTTTCCCAAAAGAAAAATACTTAAAAGTAGAGATACTTGAAATATCAGTGACCAAGTAAATCTACTTCATTATTGTCCACCACTGGGGAAAAGACTCGTGAACCAGTGGCGGCTCGTCAGGGGAGGTAAGGAGGCCAACCCAAAACTTTGAAGCAAAAATGGAAGGATGATTTAATGGTAATACAATTCTCAGTTATTCATTTCATGTCTCAGAATGTGTATTTATTATTTGTAATTTCACCAATTCAAGTGATAGGCTAGGACTAGGTGAGTGAACTTATATTTAAATTGTCTTGATGTATGTGTCGTTTTCTATACACTTTCTGTCTATAAGTGACCAAAAAGCCATTCTAAAGCAGTTAAAAAATAAAAATGTGTGCCACCATTCAGAATTCTCTGAAGACCCACCTATGACAAACTCAAGTGCAAACTTGTCTTCGGCCGGTTTGTAGGGCCGGTTGAATGTGATCTTGATCTGGAACTCTTGAGCCCGACGCACGATGAGGAAGTCGCTGGAGTACAGGTGTGTGTGGTGCTCTTGTTTGTTGAGATCTTGGGGTCGTTTCAGCACATCCACGTCCCAGACATCGAGATACTCTGAGGGACAGAAACGGGACTGTCAACACGTTAAAGGCTCAATAAGCCTTTTTTACACAACACAATCTACAAAACCAGTGGCATGACTCTCACAGAGGATGTCTTTCGTTCTTTATCTCTGGGGGTTTGAAGGGAAGAGGATGACGAAAACGTCAAGATGTTACCAGATAAAAGTGGTGTGCTTCCTGCAATAAATGTTGGGGAAGAGCTCACTGTTATCTGGTGGAAATGGTAAACATGGAGGAAACGGTCTTCAGCAATCGGGATATTTGTTTCAGTTTTTCAGTTGAGGGCTTTTGACTAGATAAGACCAAGCAAATGTTTTAGTAAACAAAAAAACGGTACCAAGCATGCATGAATTATTACTGATTATAAAAGTTTTTGAATTTGACCTTTTTGTGCATGTAATGCAAAAATACTTAGAAAACAAAAACTTTTCCATTTAAAATATTTGTTTGTATCAGCCAATTTTCATGTCCCTGTTCATCACCATTACATTTTAATTGGTTATGCATAAAAAATTAGCTTTAACTGACAATATTGTATCATGCTTTCACTTTATATGTAGTTCATTTTAAATGCTTTATTTATTTTCGTAGGAAATGCTAAATGTATATGTTGGGATATTTTTCACTGGAAAAATAATGGTGAGTGTCATTTTAGTATTATTTATATACTTTTGTAGTGTTTATTAATATTTTTATTAATATATTAATATTTTCAATTATAGTTTACATTAACAATTTTATGTGCTTATTTTATTCATTTATTTGTAAATAGTTTCTTATTTATTTTTATATAAGTTTAAGTTTAGTACTTCAGCTCAAACTTTTATTTAATTTTATTTTAGTTTTATTTCAAGTTTTACTTAACAATAACAACACTGATAATAATGATATTTAAGTGAGAGACATCGCTTTTTTTAAAATTAAGTTTCTATTACAGTATTTATCTCCATTTTATTAAGTTGACACTTTGTCTAACTCAATACTTCTGATTTGAGACAAAAATAGAGATACATTTTACACAGACAAAAATGTCAAGGATATTAATATTGATGATGTATTGCAATAACCGTAAAAGATTATTAATATGTGATTTATTAAAAGGCACACCAAATTTACTCTACATATAATTTCTTAAAGTGACAAGATTTCAATATTCTAGCACTTTAAAGTTACCATGAAATCAAAATGGGCAATTCTTGTTTTTTAAGGAATATTGCAGTGTTTATTATAAATTATGTATCCGTGCACATTGTTTGTTTGTTTTTTTATTTGTGCCTCATAATCTAAATTCCTTCCCTCTTGCAGTGACATCTCTTTTCTTCTCTGATGAAGAGGGCGGGGCAACCTGTCAATCATATGAGATCCACCAATAGCAAACCACACCCATCCAATCAATTCCCCATGGATAAAATCAACATTTATTCCTGTTCGAGAAGCCGATAAAAAATGTGAATGTTCTCATTCTCACCATTGAGTGGAGGCGGTCCTCTGGGCATTAGCATGAAGGGCTCAAACTCCTCCACTTTGCCCTCTTGTTGATTCGAGCTGGCTCTGGCTCCTGCGCTGCGCCCGCGGTGGGACACGCGTTTGGGCCGTACGGCGGCGGGTGCGGCGGCGGCGGGGGGCGGGTCCTCTCGGGACTCTTGATCAGCCATGGCAGGTACTGGTGTGGTGGCCATTAAACTGAACTCAGAAACAACACAGGTCAGCTTTCACACATCACATACAGACTTCAATGATAAAACAATGAAAGAGCCTCTTCTTTTGTTTACACATCCATGCATTTTTATCAAATGTTGCTCAGGAAGGGTGTCATTTATGCCATCTGTTTGGCATTGAGGATGAAGCACTGCTTGCACACAAACACAAACTCAAAGCATGTGCTGCTGCACAGTTTTATTGCAGGATTTGGCCTTTCTTCCTTTGATTTATAGCAGCATATGAAAAGACCAATGTAGAAACGTAAGCTAATGAGTAAGATGCCATTTGGCTTTTCTTTCTTTCTGCCATTCTTTTGAACTTTAAACACTTTACATTAAGGTTTCGTTGTTAAAATTAGTTAACTGTGATAGTTAACGTGAACTAACAATGAACAATACTTTTATTAATCTTAGTCAATGGTACTTTTTACATTTACTAATACATTTTTAAAATCCAAAGTTGTATTTGTTACTCACATGAACAATTAGATTTACTAATTAAGGTTAACAAATATTAATAAAAGCTTTAAAATGTATTGCTCATGCATTGTTAGTTCATGTTAACTAATGAATTAACTAATATTAATAAATGAGACCTGTATTTTGAAAGTGTTACTGAAAAAGTATCTGCTTAACTAAATTAGTGCTTTATCTTTTATTTTCAAATCTAGAAACTTTTTTTTAAAAATTGTGAAATAACAAAATGACATGCTTACAACTGTTTTAAATAAATAAATATTATTTCTAAACCAGAATTTTTTTTCTGTTCATTATAGTCATCATGAAACAAAGTCTTTTCTGCACAATTGTGAGGTATATCTGAGTGAAACTGATTCTCCAATAAGAATAAATGAAGGGCGGGGCTTGATTAATTGGCTGTGGTTTGCTATTGGCTGATCTCATGTGAGTGACAGATTGCCCCGCCCTCGTGTCAGTAAACACATCATCAGAGAAGAGATGTCTCTGCAAGAGGGAGGGGAAGTTATTTTGATTAAAGATTATGAAAGCATAGGAATTACAAAAAAAAAAAAATTGATGTGCACAGATAAATCATTTATAATAAATACTGCAATATTAAACAAAAAAAATAAGAATTGTACATTTTGATTTCATTGTGTCTTAATGAACACAATATGTGAATAAGTACAGTGTGTGTTTTTACACAAAACCTTGTGATTCCCTCTTTGGTGCTGTTAATGCAGGCGACATTTTCCCATTCAATTGCCTATTCCTGTGTTTCCCGGCATTTAAATGTGGAAAACTTATTTTTATGATAGGCTGCACAATGGCTGCTTTTACACTGGCAAAATGTGTCACCACAGACACACAAACACCTGTGTGATGATGGATTACATAAACTGGGCATGTCCTTGAAGGAGGTGTGAAGTTTGAGGAGGTGTTTGGCCCGTGAACCCCACCGGAGCCGTGAGTAACACACCTCGAACACAGTGAAGTCTCTGTTCACTTCTGAACCACTTAGAGACACGGCTGAACACACTTTTCCACACGTTATCTTGGCGAGGTAAACTATAGACGGAAAAGCTGATGCTGATTTAAAAAAAAAAAAATGTTTGTCAAGATTTTGTTTTCTGCGGTTACCACGTGGATATAAAACAGATGGTGGCACATATTAAAAGAGTTACGTTTTGCACACTACACAGAAAATTGGCTCTGCACTCTCAAGACTTTCACAAACACACACACATAAAATGCATTTGCAAACACAAACACACATGTGCACTAAAATCCAAAATATAAACATCTAAAATAACGTCAAAATTTAAACACTGAAATCTTTAAGGACAATAGCTTGTGCTTTGCAATCATCCAATTACCCTCAAACGATTTTTTGTGAACACACACACACACACACTCACACACACGCGTATAGGATATACATGCACATATATGTTCTTCACAAAAAGTTAGTTGGAGATATTTGGATAATTGCACATATACACTATCATTCCAAAGTTTGGGCTAAAAAATAAGATCTAAATCATTTTATTCAGCAAGGATGCATTCAATTGATCAAAAGTGACAGTAAAGACCTTTATAATATTACAGAAGATTTCCATTTAAAATGCATCGCAGTTGAACTTTCTACGCATCAAAGAATTCTGAAAAAACATTATCCACACAAATATGAAGCAGCACAACTGTTATAATAATAGAATAATAATCAGAAATGTTTCTTGAGCAGAAAATCAGCATATTCGAATGATTTCTGAAGGATCATGTGACACTGACGACTGGAGTAATTCAGCTTTGATCACAGAGATAAATTACAGTTTAAAAGAGATTCAAACAGAAAACAGTTATTTTAAATTTCAAAAATATTACACAATATTACTGTTTTTACTTTGCCTTAAGTACTCAAACTTTTGAACAGTAGTTGGCAATTTCCATCTTCCAGAGTGAACTGTTTACTATTAAATATGTAAAAGTAAACTAACCTGGTTTATGTTTAGGTAGAAAGGCGGCACTGGTCTGCAGATACTGGAAGCTGGAGTCCGGGATCACACCAGGACCACTTCTGCCTTCACTTTTATATGGGGCTGGAATAACAGTGTGTGTGTGTGTGTGTGTGTGTGTGTGTGTGTGTGTGTGTGTGTGTGTGTGTGTGAAACCTCATGGTGGGCGTGTCTATGTATGCAGATTAGCATGACATGATAAAAGCAGAGGGTGTGTAGTGTAAGTGTGAGATTGGAGTGGAAGTGTGAACTACTGCGTGTGTGAGTCTGTGAGGCTTGTAGTGAACAGAAATGAGACCAAATAAAAAGACAAGTGTTGAATGTGTCACGTCCTGCTCTTTAGACACCGACTCAAAACACGCAGAGACACTTTACAATCAATGTTTCATTTTTGGGGCAAAACTTGCAAATGCTATATTGCTGTACAAAGGCAAACCATAGTAACTTTCAATTAAAATCATAATTTTACTGATAGATAAGGGTCTCTTAGATTGTGATCAGATAAAAAAAAAAGTTGAAAAAGTTCTATAAAAATCAATCATAATAACATCAAAGCCATTTTTTCAAAATCCCAGTGCTTCACAATTACTGCATATTGCCTTTTTATGGCAGTATAAGTACAGCTATGAGTTATAATACTGAACAGTTGCCTGTATTTCTACAGTAATCCGTTACTCTTCATCAGATCAGTGTCTTTGCTTACCAGTAAAAAACATCTAGACATCCTTAAAGCAAGATATATTCACCTGAGAAGCAAAAGATGATGCATATATTAAGACTTGTTTTCAGAGAATATAACAGCATTTCATCTTGGTCCATTTTTGCATTATGGCTCTAATGGGCAGTTTGAGTCACTGCTTCAGGCTTTCTATATGGAAAAATCTCATTCTGCCAATGTTTCTTAGGGAAAACATGCTGTTCAGACCCCTTCGGATGCTTTGGGAGACTATGAGTCACAGGCATGAGCTCACCTTTACATTGGAGAACAGGCAACTTTCTTTCACCATGAACTTTAAATCAGAAGATGTAATGCTTTGGTACAATACGAGTGCTTGTCAAAGCAGTTCGAGCTTAGCAAGTTACATCTAGTTGCATAACAGAGGGTGGATGCAGTCCACCGCTTATAAATGGGCTTTTCATGAACATTTTTGGTGGGCCAAAACCAAAATATGTTATTATATGCATATATACCTGATCAAGACACTTCCCCTGACATACAACAACAACAACATAAAACCACATTTTGATTCAAAACAAAGCATAATGATATAGAGCTAGTCAATGCACATATGAAATGAGCAACACTGACCACAAGGCTCCTTTGTGATTTCCGCCATACCCATGCGAGCAGTACATGGTGTTTCCTGTGCGAGTTTCAGAAACCACAGGTTAGTCACGTGATCAAGCTTCCACGTTCAGCGCTTTGTTCCGCTCTACTGTCGGTCCATGCATATAGGAAGAGAATCGATTATGCTTGAAAGATACTGAGGCGTAAAACGATGCCAATGTAAAACAATACAGCTCAAAACCAAGAGCAAAGGAGGACGAAGACAGACAGACGAAGGAGGATGGAGGAACAGAAGGAGGATCCCTCGTTCTTGGGTGAGCAAAGTATGATCATGATTGAAGAGCAGATGTACAGTTTACATGCATGACGACGACATGCACACATTTGTGAAAACATGTCTGAACTTCTTTGCATTAGACAAACAATATATCAAAGCAAGTGTTTGTATCTTCAGAGCCTTTTCTCATTTACTAACGACAAACCAACACAAAGTGTCACAATACTCAGGAATAAGAGGAACCTGAAACCAACAAACCTGTACCAAAAAGGTACATTTTTAGACCTTATTTACCCCTAATGGCTGCATATTAGTACCTTAAAGGTACATGTTAGTACTTACAGATATTAGTACCTGGTACTGCCCCACTAACAGCTTGTGTACCTTATTTTTTCTGAGAGCGTACTGACGGACTCATTTTCAACACCCAAATGGCTTTATGCCAAATGTTTTCCTTGAAAGCTGCGTTTTTGCTATCATACTTTAAATGAATGATCCTTGCTTTAATATTTTGCTATTTAATGCAATAAAACTCTGATAATTTTGTGGTCACTGCATAAGATCTTCTTCCAAAGGGAGATTCAGGCTTTGTCTCACTAAAAAGACAGTAATATGACAACTGTAAACTATTTTTTATTTTTATAATATAATAATAAAAAATTACACTTATTTAAATATAAAATACAATACATACATATACTATCATTCAGAAGTTTGAGTGCAGTAAGATTTTTTAAATGTTTTTTTAAAGTCTCTTATGCTCAACAAGGCAGCATTTTTTTAAATCAAAAATACAGTAAAAACAAAAATATTGTTAAATGTTACTAAATTTAAAATAACTTATCTAATGGAATATATTAAAATGTAATTTATTCCTGTGATCAAAGCTGAATGTTCATCATCATTACGTCACATGATCCTTCAGAAATCACACTAATATGATGATTTCTGATTTTTTTCAATGTTGAAAACAGCTTTATATTTTTTGTAGAAACTATGATACATTTTTTTCATGATTTTTTGAGGAACAGAGAGTTCAAAAGAACAGCATTCTAATTGAAATGTCTAGTACATTATAAATCACTTTCGCCCAATTTAATACATCCTTGCTGAATGAAAGTATGAATTACTTTTAAAACGGCAGTGCATTAAAACGAAACATTACCTATCTGTCACAGACAGGAGGCCGCAGACAGTCGAGGCGAATGGAGGAAGTCTTAGTCACCAGCCGTCTCCTCTTCCTGAACTTCGTGTGGTTTTACTCGGCCGCAAAGGTGCCGGGAAGAGCTCAGCAGGAAATAACATCCTAGGCCTGGCAGGAGGGTTTGAGTCGAATAAACCGACCGAGGAGTGTGTGAAGAGGCGCGCCGACGTGGAGGGAAGGCGCGTCACGGTTGTGGACACACCAGGATGGGAATGGTACTATCCGGTGAACGGGACTCCCGGTTGGGTGAGGAGAGAAACCAAGCGAAGCATGTCCTTGTGCCCGCCAGGCCCTCATGCCGTTCTTCTAGTGGTGCGATCCTGTACGTCAGTGACAGTCGACTACCATCAGCAGATCGAGGAGCACCTGGAGCTTCTGGGAAAAGCGGTGTGGGATCACACACTGGTGCTGTTCACACGCGGGGACGAACTGGGCTCCGTTCCCATCGAACAGAGGATTCGAAACGGCGGCAAGGCCTTCCAGAGGCTCCTGGAACGATGTGGGAACCGATTTCACGTTCTGGAGAACAAGAGGCGCATCGATGATGGATCGCAGGTGAAGGAACTGATGAGGAAGTTGGATGAGCTGGTCGGAGAGAGAGGAGGGAGATATTATGAGATGGATGTGCTGCTTCTGGAGCTGGAGGTGGAGAGTAAACGGAGGGCGAGAGAAAGGAGGAAGAAACAGAGGCTGATGGAGGCGCAGACGCACAGAGGAACCATCAGAGCCGTGCTGACGAGTGAGTGGACGACAGACAGACATGTACAAAAATACAAATATCATATAAATACAATGCATCTTCTTCAGTATTGTTGTCTAGTTTTCCAGTACAAATATCTAAACATGCTTAAGCAAGGTCTGGTACTACTAAGATGAGCACTTGTTTTGGTTTTTTTATATATATAAATAACATTTGTTTGGGTCAAAAATGAGGATTAAGGGTTAATTTGAGATACTTTATTTACTTTAGAAGCAAAATTACATAAGATATTAAGCCTTAAAAATGTATCTAAATGAAATGAGTATGCTTAAAAAAAAAGTAAACATAAGTGCCAGGGGTGTAAGAAAAATAAACATGTTTTGCCTTTAATTAATTAAAAAATAAAGTATTTTTCCCCCTTGTTTTATGAATAAACTCACTTTATTTTGGGAATATCATATTTTACAATATTCAATTTCTTTCAGAATAGCATGTATCTTAATTTAAAAATATTTAGAAAATTGGACTGGAAAACAAGACAATAGACCGACTTTACGGTATTTGCAGAAGTCAAATTTCTAACTGAGTTTGGGATACTCGTTTTTCTCTACAGAGGAAAACTATTCAGTTTTCAGTGTTTCAGATAAATTCACTAAAAAGAACCAATTGAAAAGAAACTAGTTCAAAAAATATTCAGTCACAAAAGAATGATTTATACAAACATCTTACTGATGAAAATTTTAGAGCAGAGCATAGGTATTAGGTACAAAATATAGAAATGTCTTACTTTAAGACTTAATTCTATTAACTTTGCTATGGCAGTGTACAAGACACATTTTCATCACCCAGAAATGAACATTTTGTCATGATTTACTCACCTCATGTTGTTCCAAATGCGTATGTATTCATACACATCTGTGAAACACACACAAACAAAGTTTATGTTGCACTTTTTCACACACTGCAAAACAAAACAGGCAAACAAACATAAGTACCATAAAAGAAAAAACATAAAAATACATAATATAACTACTATGGAAAAATCTCTTCCAGTCCACCATAGCTTAAAACATAATTCATGTTTGAGTTTAATTCACGCTTGGCCCATTTATGTCACTGATGTAAATCAGCATTGTTCTTCACACAAAACAACATACTAGTTTGGAACAAGATGAGTAGGAGCAACTAAAAGATTTTTGTCAAATTATGTATTTGTCAGCATTAATATGTAGTTAAAAACCGTCACATGTATATTAGTGCTGTTACAGCAAACAATCTCTTTTTCTCCAAAAAAAGAAAAAAAAGAATCATTATGTAAATCCAAATTATGGAATTATGTAAATTCTATATGCGACTTGAATGCACTACAATTTTGTAAGATTTTAATATAGGCCTACATAATACATGATGTAGATAACCTTTGTTTGGCAAAAAGACTTAATAATAAAAATGCATCTAAATGATATGTCAACAAAAGCCATTATTCACAAGTAACCACTTCATTTAGTTGTTTCTGTGTATTGTGTCTCCTGTCCCTGCTAGATGATAATACTCAAACTGAAGACATGGATGAGAGGAATCTCTTCTCCAGAGGTTCACGCCGTCTCCCGGAGCTGAGACTGGTTCTGCTGGGAGAGAGAGAGACGGGGAAAAGCTCGGCTGGGAACGCCATCCTCGGAGGACCGGGATACTTTCAAAGCGGAGAGGCGACGGAGGAGTGTTCAAGACAGCAGATGGAGGTTTCTAACAGACTGGTGACGGTGGTGGATGTGCCTGGATGGGAGGGCGGACCGGAGGGAACAACTCCAGAGAGAGTGAAGCGAGAGATTGGAATGAGTGTGATGCTGTGTCCTCCCGGACCTCATGCGTTTCTTTTGACGTTGCGCGTAGATGCGTTTGTCCAAGCCCAGTCGGTGCGGGAGCACTTGGAGCTTTTGGGGGAGGCGGTTTGGAGACATACGTTTCTTCTGTTCACGAGGGGCGACCAGCTACGAGAAGGAGTCACGATTGAGCAGCACATACAAGGAGGAGGAAAGGAACTTCGCTGGCTGGTGGAACGATGTTCAAATAGGTTCCATGTCATCAGCAGCAATTCTTATTTGGAACCTCAGAATTCCAAGACACAAATAACGGAACTTCTGGAGAAGATTGAAAAGATGGTGGCGGTAAATCGATGCGAGGCCTTCTCCCCACTAGTGCATGAGATTCAAGAGTTAGGAAGACAAAAAAATGAGAAATTTCAACTAAAGGTCAAGGAGTTTAGCGAGAAGCTTCAACGGCAGGACGAAGAACTGAAGAAGATGAAGGAACGGGAGGTCAAGAGCATTCGGTGGTTCTTCGAAAGGCGCAAGAAAGACAAAGTACAATCTCCCGGGAAGGCCGAGAGGGAAGAGGCGCCGTACAAAGGCGAAGATGACAGGAGAAGTGTGATGGGCGAGCTGGAGGAGAGGATGGCGTGGTTAACGGAAGACAAGGAGCGAGAGATACATGACCTGAACGCTGAAATAAGCAAAGTCATGGTGACTCACCATCAGGGACTGAAAGAGAAAGAGCAACTGCTAATGAGATTAGAGGAACGAGAGCGCGAGGGGGAAGAACTTAAAGAGAAAGTGGATGAGCTTCAAATTAAACTGCTAGAACAGGAGCGCTTGGGTGCCGTGAGAGAGCAAGAACGAAGAGAGAGAGAGGCCGAAATTCAGCGAGCACACTTGGACGAGAAGAATGAACTTAAAAACAAATTGTTGGACGCTGAAAAGGAGACTGATAGGATGAGAGGAAAGGCTGAGGAAAGTCAAAAAGAGATGGATTCATCACAACGCAGGTATGAAGAAGAGGCCAGGCAGCAAAAGGAAGATATGGAGAGCAAACTGAAAGAGAAGGACAATGAAATTGAAAACATTTTAAGAGAAATCGAGGAGGTGAAACTTAAGGCTGAGAGCAGAGAAAGAGAACAAGGTGAGATATTCAGGGAAAAGGTTGAGAAGAGAGAGAAAGAGATGGACAAGCTGAGAGAGGTAATAGAGATGATGACAAAAGAGACGGAGCAGCTACGAATGTCCAATCGAGAGCAAGAGAAAACAACAGAAGCCGAGAGAGAAATGCATGGAGACGTTATGGAGAAATACAACACGCTCATAGATAAACTTGTAGGGAAAGACAAAGAAATAGAGCGAACGATGAGAGAGAAGGAAAAAGAGCTGAATCGAAATGCTGAAACACAAGAGAAGCTTCAGCAAAAAGAAGACGAAATAGTCAAATTGAGACAAAGAGATCAGGAAAAGGACAGAGAATTGAAGACATTGAAGCAAAACATTACCGAAAAACAGAGGGATACAGAAAAGTTAAAAGACACCGTACAGGCAAATACTGATAAACACACAGCGGAACGTAAAGTTTTGGAGGAAGAGTTGAAAGCAAAAGAAGATGAAATTGACAAGTTAAAACAAAGAAACCTAGAGAATGACAAATACATCGACAAACTAAAGCGAAACATTAGCGAAAAACAAAATGACATTGAAAAGTTAAAAGACTTTCATATTGAAGAAAATATAGCTCAACTAAAACATCACCAGGAGGAATTCAAAGTAAAAGAAGAGGAAAATGAAAAATTAAGACAGAGAGACCAGGAGAAAGAAAGAGAAATTGACATACTTAGGCAAAACATTAGCGAAAAACAGAAAGACATTGAAAAGTTAAGAGACTGTATTGAGTCGCATACTGAAGAAAGTGCGGCTCAACTGAAGCATTTAGAGGAAGAGCTGAAAATAAAAGAAGAGGAAATAACCAAATTAAAACAAAGAGACCTGGAGAAAGACAATGAAATTCACACACTTAAGAAGAATATTATTGCCCAACAGCAGGACGCTGAAAAGTTGAAAGACAGCATTCAGTCAAATATTGACGAAAGTGCAGCTCAATTGAAACGTTTAGATGACGAATTCAAAATAAAAGATGAGGAAATAATCCAATTAAGAACAAGAGACCTGGAGAAAGACAGAGAAATGAACACACTGCGGGAAAATATTTGCGAAAAACAAAAAGACATTGAAAAGTTAAGAGAGAGTATTCAAGCACATATTGAGGAAAGCGCAGCTCACCTAAAACATTCAGAGGAAGAGCTACAAACAAAAGAAGAAGAAATAACCAAATTAAATCAGAGAGATATGGAAAAAGACACACTGCTGCAAACATTCAATGAAAAGCATTTAAGAGACATAGAAAAGTTGAAAAACAGCATTCAAGCAAATACTGAACAAGGCGCCGTTCAACTAAAACTTCTAGAGGAGGAGTTTGACGTAAAGATGGAGGTCTACAAAAGAAAGAATACGGTGATGGAAAAGGAGATGGAAAATATAAAGAAACAATATGAGGAAACAAGATTAATAATTGAGATGAAAGAGAATATCATCAGTCAGTTACAACAGCAACACGCTGACACTGAAAGACGCTCAGAAGAGCTGAAACAACAGCACAGTAAAGAGCAAATACGTAACGACGTCCTACAAAACGTGAACGCAGAACTGGAGAAAGAGTTCGAAGAGCTGAAGTGCAAGTGTGAGGGGCTTCAGACTCAGTTGAAGACTTCAGTGGAGCGCTACGAGATACAGAAGAAAGAAATGAACGGGTTAGAACAACAGCTAGACGAGTTAAAGCGGCTGCTGGAGGAGAAGGAGAAAGAGAAAGAGAGTGATATGCAAGACATGAAGGAGTATTACGAGAAAAGACTGAGAGAAAGGCACGAAGAGCATGAGATGGAGATAGAACAAGAGCTTTGCAGGAGAGAGAGGGAGGTAGAAAAGAAAGAAGAGAAATTAGCTCAAAACGAACAAGATTTGTTAACTAGAGAGGGTGAAGTTAATAGGAGAGAACAAGCGCTAACAGATGAAAAGCAGGATTTGGAGGTGCAGATGTACAGGATTAGAGAAGAGGAGAAGAATCTGGAAAACGAGGGCCAGAATAACAAACGTTTAGCTGTAGATCTGATGAGAATGAGAGAAGAGATTGAGAAAAGAGCAGAAGGGCTTATGGTTCAAGAGGAAAAATTAAAGGCGCAAGAGCAGCAGATAAAATGTCGAAAGGATGAACTACAAGCAATGGAGAGGCTGTTGGAGAGCAAGGAGATGGAAATGAAAGACCTGACTGAAAAGCAGGAGAAAGATATGGAAAATCGTAGAGAGCAGCTGGAAAGGAGAGAACAAGAGCTGTTCGAAATGGAGGAGAAATTTGTTAAAGAACAACACAGGCTTAAGGGAGAAGAACAATCCTTGGAGATGCTCAGAGCAAATCTGGAAACGAGAGAAAATGAACTTAATAAACGAGAGCAGATGTGGGACGTTAAAACTCGTGAGCTTTTAAAGAGCTCAGAGGAACTTGAAAACAACAAACACAACGCAGAGAAAAGGCAAGCCGAGTTGAGCAATGAGGAAAATGATCTTCTGCAAAAAATGAAAGGATTACAAGAAAAGGAGCAAGAACTTGAACTCAAAGGTCAAAGGCTGATGGAGCAACAACGAGACATGGAGAAACGGGACAATACTCGGCGTGAACATGACCTGGAGCTGGAGAGCATTAGAGAAGCGTTGGGAAAAAGGGAGCAAGAGCTGATAAAAGGTGAAGAAGAGCTTTCTCAAAGAGAGCAAAAGCTGAAAAGTGAAGAAATCTATTTAGAGAAAAGAGAGCAAGTCATGCAAAAACGGGAAGAACAGCATGGAGACTTGTTACGCGGTCTGAAGAAACAGCAGGATGTTTTGAAAGACAGAGAACGCTCTTTAGACACCAGAGAAACAGACCTGCGTCAGCTGGAAATGGAGCTCGCAGCGAAAGATAATAAAAACAAATTTCTGCAGAACCAAGAACTAGATCTAAAGAACAAAGAGAGCGATTTTGAGGCCAAAACCCAAATGCTAGAGCTCCTAAAAACAACACTAGATGTGAGAGAAAAGCAGCTTGAGGAACGTCAAAACCAACTGGACAGCAGAACGCAGGAGGTAAATAATGAACAAGACAAGCTGGAAAAGAAGCGAGAGGAACTTGACAAATGGGAGAAGTATTTGTATAACACAGAGCTCAAATTGATACACAAAGAGCCTTCCTCAGGGTATCGCCCATGGACAAACAGCACTGAAATTAATGGGAAACACATGGAAGGTGAAGACATCCATCGAATGCATCAAGAAATAGGAGCGGATAATGGTGGCATTTGCGATGCAAAAGACACAAGAAGTGAAGAGCGATTGGTGTTGACTACTTTAAACTGTGCAAACAACAGATCGGTAAAGAACCAGAGGGTTAAACGAACACTGCAGGCTAAGCAAAATGAGGAAGATGGTGAGATTGACAATTCTGAAGGCGAAAGTGAGGAAGACTTCTTTGAATCTTCAAGCACCAGTTTCCAACCTATCGGACGTTCACTCTGGCCCGTGTCTGATCTAAGGCTTATGCTTATAGGAGACTCCTGGTCGTCCCGTCATCCAGTGAGATGCACCATCGTGGGGCTTGATGCAAATGGATGCAACCCTTGGAGAGGAGAGATTTCCGGCAGGCAAGTCACTATTGTAGAGCCTCAGGGCCTGAAATGGAGATCTGGGATTGACAGTAAAGGCGCATTTCAAAAACATCTCTCTCAAAGTGTCTCTCTGTGTCAACCTGGACCACATGCATTCATCCTTGTGATTCCCGCTTATGTATCCTTCACTGGTCAGTACAGGCGTGCAGTGGAACGTACCATATCAGCGTTAGGAGAAACATCATGGAGCCACACTATTGTTCTGCTCACCTGGGGGGAAACATTAGGAGAGAGCGGCCAGCAGCACGTGAAGAGAAACGGTGACCTGGAGCGGCTGGTTCGGAGGTGTGGGAATAGATGCCACGTGCTTGACAACAGATATCGGGAATCTCACGTGGTTAAGTTGCTGGAGAAGGTTGAGGAGATGCTTGGAGGAAACAATGGATGTTGCTACAAACTGGACTGAAAAAGAGTATTGGGAATTTAAAGAGAGCCTTTATGACTGTGAATGACATTTAAATTATGATATAGACCTATCTGGTAGATTGTCTTGACATTCTTGGCTTTAAACTATATTTATGTGTTTAGGAGTACAAATGAAAATAAACAAGATTTTCAAAAAACTTTTGAGTAATATCTGTTTATGTACAATAGAGTAGGCCGAACTACAGCAAACATGCAAGTATGTAATTCACACTCTTAACAGACGGTGGCGCACTTGTACTAAAAGTTCCACTAGGTTTCACACACAATACTGTTTTTCACTGTTTTTATAATCTTTAGCTAATTTATTAGCAAATATGAGGAAGAATACGCTGTTTTCTCTCTTTGTAATACTGTTGGGAAGGAACAACCAATCAGATTAGTTGTTGCTCCATTGCGTCAATCACTTTCTGTTCCTGATGAGCCTACCACGCTACCACTTGGGTTTCTTCAGGATGTGCACTTAACTTTACTTCCATGGTCAAAGTGGATATGTTTAAGTTGTGCGTCAATGATACTATGTAAGTAATTTACTGAGTGTTTCTATCGGATGTCAAATACTATGAATAATCAAACCATCGCGAGTTCGTTTGTCTGAGGTGACGACGATCTTAGATTCTAGCCTAAGATGTTCATTTAACATATATTCCAAATATACTTGAGTTCATAATAATAACGATCACTGATTAATGCTTTACTGTGTATAAATGTATGTTTAAACAATGTATAGATCCGTTCTGTGATTATATAGATTTGTTAGCTTATTGTGTAATGACTGAGCAAAGACATTTCGGCTAATTCCGTTTATGAGCGCTACGCGCCACCTAGTGGTAAAAATCGCTATTACATTGTATAATGTTATGTTCATAATAGAACGATATTGGGATAAATGCCAGCTGTTATTAATGATAATGGAAATGTTTGATATTTTCTAATTAGTGTTATTATTCACTGTTTCAGACCACACAACATACTACCTCAGATACCATGGATAGTGCCATTCAATGTCCTGTGGTCTGACTGTGCCGTTCATTGTGCTAAATATTCATGCTGGACCTAATTAAAACTGTTACTTCTGATTCCTGCCTCCTGTGTTCTGACCGGCACACCAGTGCGAGCACAGCTATATTGAACCAGTGCAATACAGTCCTAAGCAAAGTCATTAATATTGGTCCTTCGAGCCGGATCATTGTGCTTACACTGGACCAGAATGGATGAATATCAGACTCAAGGTGCACGTCCTAGACGTTCAGTCCGCCATCCAGCCTATTTGGAAGAATTTGAAGTTCAGTATCCAAATCAAACTAGAGCTTCTCTAACGGCACAGCAGTCACATGGGCTAGAAAATTATCAGCACAGTGATAGAAGGATGGCACACGGGCACGATATCAGTCATCAAAGTATAGACGAGGAGCCTGGCATCCGAACACCTGATTCGTTAGATGCAGGAGACCCAGAAAGAAAGCCCTGGCATATCAAAGATCTGTGGAGGGAAAGAGATGATTATTCACTACAGATGGAGAGCTATTCAGTACCTAGGGAATCCAGGGAAAGATTGTATGACCTTGAAAGAGAGAATAGACAGCTTCGTCAAGCACAGCAAACAATGAAAGAGGAAATCGGACAACTGTTGGAGATTCAGAAAGGTATGCAAGAAATGCTAATGAGAAACCAAACAAGTTTAGCTTCTTCACTTCCTAAACCACAGCCCTTAGCTCCAACACCTCCATTACCTTCACCTAGAACTGTCTACAGAGATAATGAGCAACCTGTTCCTAGACCAGCCCCTCGAGTCCAGCCAGTACCAGCCCCACGCAGACTTCAGACTCCACATCTTGATGCTACAGATATTGAGGCTCATCTCGTTCCACCCCCAGCCTGGAGTCATTACCCAGACACCTTTACTAGTGATGGATTGACTCATGTTCCTTCAAACATGCTTAACCCCTTTAGTAACCAACAGGACTCACGGCAGGTGAAAACAAAACTGACATCTTCTACTCCTCTTATTCCATCTGTTCCTTCCTATTCTCAACCTTATAGACCACCAGCAAACCCAGTGGCGTGGCATTCCAGTTCAACTAGACAGGAGACAACTTATAGGGGTCCACAGCCAACCATACCAGACTTCATCCATCGAGACCCAGGTGAATTTACCAGGCTAAAGTTGGCTTTGGGAAACTTGTTACCAGAGGATGCAAATGAACTGTTTAAATACCAGGTGCTCATTGACCACTTGAAACTAATGGAGGCACGCCTGATAGCGGACTCGTTCTTGAACTCGCTTACACCATATACAGACACCATGGAGGCGTTAACTGAGAGATATGGCCGTCCTCATCAACTGGCTCTAAACAAGATAGCAGCTGTTATGGATTCTGCAGATATCCAACCTGGTGACACGGTTAGCTTTGAACGCTTTGCTCTCCAAGTCCAAGCACTAGTAGGCCTCCTCAGGACATTGGGGTCAGAGGGAGAGGTTGAACTACGCTGTGGTTCCCATGTGGCGCGACTTCTCACTAAATTACCTACAGAGCTACGTGCAGCCTTCAGAAGGAGCATTAGTAATGAACCTGGTACCATGTACACACTCAATGATCTGGCAAAGTGGCTGAAGTTTGAGTCATGGTGTCAGGACCATGATAGCTTTGCGGGAAACAAAGCCCAGAGAGACAGAGTCAGACACAAAGTTGACTTAAACAGAGAACCCAGATTCAAGTCCAGACCAGCCACAATTCTTCATGGTGCAGATCAGACAACTTCAGCTGAAATAGTACGGCAACCATCAAATAAATTTGAGAAGAGCAATGCATTCTGTCCATATTGTGATAACAGAGAACATTATCTCAGCCAGTGCACCATATTCCAAGCACTCACTAAAGACCAAATCACAGACTGGATAAAGAGGAACAACAGATGCTGGAAGTGTGCACGCTCACATCGATCTGCGCAATGTACTTTAAAGAAGCCCTGCCACAGGTGTAATGGCAAACACTTACAGATCTTACATGACGTCAACGTGAAGACAGCAAATGAGGGTACTTGTCTGGTGAGCTCTACCACAAAACCACTGCACTTGGACAGACCTCCAAGTTCTAAACGAGTCCTTTTGAAGGTGGTTAGAGTTGTCCTGGAGCATAACGGGCAGAATCTGGACACCTATGCCGTACTAGATGATGGATCTGAGCGCACTATCCTCCTGTCATCAGCAGCCCAAATGCTAGGACTCAAAGGAAAGACGGAGGACTTAACCTTAAGAACCATCAGGCAAGATCTTACTACACTCAAAGGTTCAGCAGTGTCTTTCAGAATTTCAACACCCACTCAACCACACAAGAGTTATAAAATCCAGAATGCCTTTACAGCTGAAGCCTTGAGCCTGGCGGAGTACTCGTATCCTGTGGCAACCTTACAGCAGAAATACAGCCATCTGAAAGGCCTCCCACTCCAGCCCATTCATAAGGCTCGTCCATTGTTGTTGATCGGAGCTGACCATCCACATCTCATTACCACAATAGAGCCAGTTCGCCTTGGACCACCAGGGGGCCCAGCAGCTGTTAAGACACGACTGGGATGGGCTCTGCAAGGTCCGGCTCGTGTACTGGAGGTAACGCTTAACACTCAGCAGTGTTTACATGCCACTTTTATCCCTTCACAGGCAGAGTTGCTTCAAAATGTGGAAAGGCTTTGGCAGGCTGATGTCATTCCAATCAAATCAGAGAGGTCAGTCACACGATCAAAGCAAGACCGAGAAGCTATAGACCTTCTACAAACTCAGACCACAAGAGTATCAGTGGATGAAGTGTATCGATATGCCACCCCCTTACTGCGCAAGAAGGACATGCCACTCCTTAAGGCCTCAATGGAAGCAGTGCTACCTAATTTAAGGAACACTGAAAGGTGCCTTGAGAGAGATCCAGTCAAAGCGGCTGCATATAAGGAAGAAATAAAGAAGCTGGAAGTCGCTGGCTATGCTGTAAAACTTTCCCCCCATGAAACCAGCAAAGAGGGCGAGTCATGGTTCCTACCTCACCATCTAGTTCAGCATAATGGCAAGAACCGTGTAGTTTTCAACTGCTCCTTTCAGTGTCAAGGCCAAGTTTTAAATGACTACCTGCTGCCTGGTCCAGCTCTAGGTCCATCATTGCTAGGCGTCCTTCTACGCTTCCGTGAGTATACTGTGGCTGTGAGTGGTGACATCAAGGGAATGTTTCACCAGGTCCGCCTTCTACCTAAAGATAAACATCTCCTTCGCTTTGTGTGGCGTGACCTGGACAGAAACAGGCCTCCGGACATATTTGAGTGGCAGGTGCTACCCTTTGGTACAACTTGCAGCCCGTGTTGTGCCATTTATGCTTTGCAGCGGCATGTCAATGATCACAGTGACCCTGGTGATGAGGTCAGATCCACAGTCGAGAGGAACTTCTATGTAGATAATTGTCTGCGAAGTGTTCCATCTCCTCAAGAGGCCAAACAACTAGTTGATAGACTGTGTGGACTCCTAGCCACTGGAGGTTTCCAACTCCGTCAGTGGGCAAGTAATGTGCCTAGCGTGATTGAGCATTTGCCAACTGAAGCACGATCTGACAGCACTGAGCTGTGGTTATCCCAAGACCGAAATGACACCCAGGAATCCACTTTAGGATTGAAATGGCACTGTCAATCTGACACATTCGGTTACAAGCCCCGCCATGTAAAGCCAGGAAAATGTACTCTGCGTCACATTTATAGAGTATTAGCAACTCAGTATGATCCCCTTGGATTTATCCTTCCATTCACCACACGGGCTAAATTGCTGGTTCAGAGACTGTGGGATAAGCAGAGAGAATGGGATGATCCTAATATGCCTGAGGATCTCCTGGAGTCCTGGAATAACTGGGAAAGGGAACTCCCTAACCTGGCCACCATTACACTGCCTCGTTGTCTTGTGACATCAAATACAGACCAGTCTACGGTTACCAGACAGATTCACATATTCTGTGACGCTTCGGAGAAGGCATATGGGTCCGTCGCCTATCTACGGTCAGAAGACCTACAAGGCCAAGTTCAGCTAGCCTTCATTATGGCGAAATCTAAAGTTGCTCCTAAGCGACAACAAACCATTCCCCGACTGGAATTATGTGGGGCATTGAATGGTGCT